TCAACAACCAAACTCTTCCACTGATGCTTGTAAAGCAAGAACTCAAACTTTAATGAAAGCTCTGGATTCAATCCAGCACCAGATTTGATAAAAGACTGAAGGAGAGAACGACACAAGCTGCTGTGTTCTCAGCAGGGCGGCTCATCTCACGCTCAAAAACAAACTGGTAGTGGACTCCTTATGCAGCTTCGGTTTTGGTAACAGTTTAGGATCATTAGTAGCTACTATGAAACACTAATGCCTTATTCTCGATCAATAGCCTCCTACTTAACAATAAGGAAGAAAGTCGTCATTAATAAGTTATGTTCTTATACATGTTGTTCTAGAACAGGCATTCTTCGTTCTGCAGCCTCAATAAACATTTAAACATGTTATTTGGTTACGTTTAGACACCAAAATGACTTTTTGGGTTAAGTTTCAAGGTTAACATGAACCTGAGGTTTTCTCAATGCTCCGCGTCGTTTTCGGTTCAATCACTGATTACAGTGAATGATAACTGCCTACTAATCTCTGCAGGCAGGTTTGTAGGCAGATTAGGCCTGTTAAAGACCATTCCTATAACAGGAACTCGGTGGGCATTAAACATCTGGATTGGCTGCACACAAAGATAATCCCGCACAACAAAAAGCTCCATCAGCTGAAAACAATGACGGTTTCGTAGCCTTGAACAATCGCAGCCTCGTTCAACGGCTTTTCAGAGAATCTCTGAAGGGGACGAGTATGAAATGGGATCGTTCTACGTGTAATCACTTCTTGTTTAACTGGAATAAACGCTGTATAATTTTAATGTGTTTAAGGTGTTACAAATAGAACTTGTTAACTGCAGAAGTTGTGCACTAGAAAGGATTTTATTATTACTTGGTTCTGAGGCAACTTTATACCAGACAGTAGTTCCTTAGAATTAAAGCTAGGAAGCTTTAATTACTTGGAGACGATTAACACTTGGAGGTTTTGTGTTATGTAAAAGTTAACATCTTACCATAAAAATACCATAAAGCATACTGAACATGTAATCATGTAAAATTTCATTGCTTACTATTAATAACAAGTAATTACTGACTGACCTGGCAGATGCACAGCATGATCATAAGGAATAAAGGTGAAACAACTGATTCATAATATCTAATAAAGAGCCAACCAGCTATGCATAACTTGGACACAGTTTAAAGTCAAGCCTTGGTTTGGCAATAATAAACAATATATTTAGTTATTATAAGCACAACAATATAGTATAGCAGCATGTAACACACAAAGAAAAAAAGTTAGGGGAGTTAGTTTAGTTGTGAAAACACAACGATCCAAAGTCAGAGTTTTCTTTTGGCTAAAAAGCTTTATCAGCTCATAATCCCCTGCTGTCAGAGCTCCTTGTACTTGCATGCAGCACTGAAGAGCTGCAAACAAACTTTATGTCTCTGAGCCAGCACCATCTCTTTCTTTTAATCCCCCCCCCCATATCTCTTCTACCTTAACACACAGGCTCCAACAACCCCCCCCCTGCCTCTGCTTTTCTTTAAATGTGACCGGTTAAAGCAAAACATCGTCTGTTTCATTCCTTGACCTCTAGCGTTGGCGGATTAGACTCGTTTTTCAGTTGAGATGGACAGAAAAAGTAAAGGCAGAGCAGAAAAAGCTGCGATAGCACGAAAACGCTTTGTTGGCAGATGCAACAAAGACTTCCAAATTAACTGACCTTTTCGGTCCACGAGCGGCCGATGGAGCAAGGAGGACGGAGAAGGGAGAACAGGTGCAGTGCAGAAATAACCTGATGTGACATGTTGTAAGTTATCTAAAAAGAATACAATGGAAAGTCTTTTTTTTTTGGTCTAAATCTGTTAATTTCTGTGTATCTTTTAAAACTTAGCAGGAGTGAAATCATTTTGCAATCCCCTCGGCTGCCTGCTGTGCGACTGAATCGCACTGTTTATCACAATAGAACATTTTATGCAAATGAATTAGAAACAACTCTCTAGATGAGCTATTTGTGACTTCCAGATTACAGTAAATACATGATATCAGAGGATATCAAAGCATTTATGAACAGTGCATGTGATTGCATTTTATGCAAATATAATGAGCCAGAGAACCTGAGGCTAAGGAAGCAAAGGAAGAGGATGGATGGAGCAGCTTTTGTGGGATCTTTTGGGAAATCATACAACACAAATGACTAAAAACCATTCGGTGTTTTCGACAGTGCACACAAAGGAAAGCAGGAGAAACAGGAGAAAATTGAGCAGACGGCTAAATGGAAGAGCCGAAACAGAATTTAAGAAGTTAGAATAGAATAGAATAGAATTCAACTTTATTGTCATTGCACATGTCACAGGTACAAGGCAACAAAATGCAATTTGCATCCATCCAGAAGTGCTTTAGCCATGATATAGATATATTACAATATATATTAGCAATAATATAGATATGTGTAATGTACACGGTATGAAGTATGTTATGAATATTCTATAACTATAAGTATGTACAGGCTATGAACAGGATATAAATATGAAAAACTATACAGAAATGTGAACTATGCAGGTTATAAACAGTTGTAGGATTAAAAATTATATGTACAGAATGATTATTTACACAGAACTATACAGTAATAATAATAATACAGTAATAATAAGAAAGAACTAATAATATAATAAAGGACAAACCATGA